AAAATCGGGGCTTTTGTCTCTGTCTACATTGCTAGTCACACTCCTGCCCCACTGGGATGCCAGTAGACGTGTCGAGTGTCGATCTGGCCTCATTCACTGCTATGGTCATTGGGTGCAATGACCCCATCTCCCCCTGCCTAGAAGAGGGGTGCTAGAGGTGACAGGGACTGATCAATCAGCTGTCACCCTCTCCCTCTGCTTGGCAGGCAGCATGGATGGGGGAGACCCTTCAAGGTTTCTTCAGTTGGGGAATGGGATCCTCGGGATCCAAGGGGTGTGTGACCTTTGTGGCCCAACGGAGAGCTACTTCCCATTTCCATGCTCTCTGCTGAGCTGTGGCTTCCCCTCTCCCTCCCCGGGTGAAGATGTTTGCAGCAGGGGAAGGGAAAGTGTTGTCCTCAATGTGCCCGACACACCCCTTATTGTGGGAAAAAATGCAGCCCCTCCCCTCCCATTTTGTAGTGCAACAGGATTAAAGGAGAGAGTCTGTTTGTAGCTATAATAGAGCAGTGACAGATGAGTGATTTGCTTGCACCCCTGCCTATCTCTGCAAGCTACTGGGTTTGAATCAGCATAATCAACAAGAAGTCCCTATAAACGAACAGATTTATCAGAGCATAAGCTTTCGTGGGCAAAGACCCACTTCGTCAGCTGCATGTAGTGGAAATTCCAGAGGCAGGGATAAATATACAGGCACATGAAAAGAAGGGAGTACCAATCAAGAGGAAGGCCAGAGATAACAAAGTTGATTCAGTCAGAGAGGATGTGGCACACTTCTAGCAGCTGATATGGAGTGTGAACGCCAAGAGAGGAGAAACTGCCTTTGTAGTTGGCTAGCCATTTGCAATCTTTGTTCAATCCTAAATTGATAGTGTCAAATTTGCAAATGAATTGTAGCTCTGCAGTTTCTCTTTGAAGTCTGTTTTTGAAGTTTTTCTGTTGCAGGATGGCCACTTTTAAATCTGCCACTGTGTGTCCAGGGAGATTGAAGTGTTCTCCCACAGGTTTTTGTATGTTACCATTCCTGATATCTGATTTGTGTTTGTTTATTCTTTTAGGGACTGTCCAGTTTGGCTAATGTATCCTGATTTAGGTGAATTGGTAGCAGGAAGTGGAACCCTCCCCTGCCAGCTGGTCTGGAAGCAATACCCCAACGTGGTCCTTGGGGGTGCTGTGCTGCTGGCGAGGTGTGGCCACGTGGGAGAGAGGCCAGTCCAAGGGCCTTGCCCACTTTGGGATTTTATTATCACCTGCCCTTCTGAAAAGCTGGGGACTGCCATACACCCAAACCTAGCAACTCCCCTGCTGATGGTGCATCAGTTGTGCTATCCTGACTAAATTCCAACTTGGGCAATTATATTTGGTTGCTCTACATTCTTCCAGCCGTTTCAACAAGTGTTCTTCACTTCCTGTCTCAAATGGTTTTGCAATGATCCAGTATATTTTAAACAAATGGCAGGGTCCCATTCACGCTTCACCACCCCTGCATCTTCCAGGTAGGTCTCCAGGAATTGCAGATTAGCCTTTAATTAAAGGTGATGTCATGTGAGGACACCTCCAGGAATACATGATCCAACCAAAATTGGCAAGCCTACACCCGGGCTGCTCTGTCTTGTCTCTCTCCTAAGCTCCTGTGAGCAGTGCCTGGCTTTGTGTGCACTGACCAGTCAAGCTGATCTAAACATTTTTTCCAAGAAAAATAGCGCTTTTTTTCCTACACATGGAAACTTCTCCACGAAGTTTGGTTTTGACAATTTTTTTGGTGGGGGTTGTGTTTTGTTGAAAAAACACTCTTTTTGGTTTGTTCATTTATGGTGAAACTGAATGATTTCAGCCACTGGAGCAAAAATGTTCAATAAACCCACTCATCTGAAGAAATGGATTTTGCCCATGAAAGCTTATGATACTATATTTATTTTTGTTAGTCTCTAAGGGCACGTCTAGACAGCAGGAGTTGTTAGTCTCTAAGGGCACATCTAGACAGCAAGAGCTATTTTGGGATATGTTCGGTATCCTGAAATAGCGTTTTCTACGTCTTCGCAGCATGCCCATTATTTCGAAATACAATCGAAATAACAGGTGGCTTATTCCAACATCCCGGTAAACCTCGTTCCACGAGGAGTAAGTCTATTTCAACAAATTGCTAGCTCGAAATAAGCTCTGCAATTTGCGTAACGCCACAGTGTAGATGAACCCTAAGGTGCCTGTACAGGACTACTCGTTGTTTTTAAAGTTACAGAGTAACTCAGCTACCCCGAGACTTCTACACATACGTTTGCTCAATTTGCCAAAAAAAAAAAAAATCTTTTGCTGAGTTTTGGGATTTTTTGTTTTTGTTTTTTCAACAAAATGCAGAGGCATTTGGAAAGAAGAATTTCAGGAACCACAATTTTTAAAATTTCATCAACATATTTCCTAGGAGGAAATAAACCATTTCTCTGCCTACTTCTACACAGAGGTGAACTCACTGCCAACACTAAACAAAGTAAGATTATTTACTCGACAGCGTCTTGTGCCAGTAACCGAAATCAGGGCCCATTTTGCTAGCTACTGTGTACTCTGCAAACATGCTGTACAAAACAGTTCCTATTATGAAGAGTTTGCAGTCTAAGTCTGACTAAGCAAGCCAGAACTATTATCTTCCTTTTATACTGGAGAAATCAGAGCACAGAGCTTAAGTAATTTGCACAAGGTCATGCCAGCTGTGGGTGGGTCCTAGAAATCTGTTCACTGCAGAAAAATGTGGAATTTTGTGTTTTTACAGAGAATCTTCAGTTTTTACATTCTGTGGAAAAATAAAGACATAGAACCCCATTTATCCAAGCCTCCATTATTCCATTCTCTGTATTTACAGTACAGAGCCATCAGCTGTAATGGTCCAAGTCCCAGCCACCTGTAGGCTGATCGCCTGCTGCTGTCATGTCAGTTTTGGTGGTTCTGTTAATATGGAGAGTTGGATAACGGTGGCTCCTATAAACTGAGTTCTATTCTATATCAATAAAAAAATTGTGTTCAACTGATCCTAATATAATATAATTAATGATTAATGTATAACATTTCCTAAGCCAGTAAAGTTAAGCATCTCATTGTAATAATGGGAAAACATGGATTTTTATCGTTTTTTTTCAGAGAGTTTTATCGCAAAAAATTAGGATACCTGGTGATGAGTTGCTGCTGTAGCCCACCCCAGAGGTGGCAGCCGTATAGAGATCTTTTTAAATGGGATCCTTTTGGATGGAAGGTGACTATAGGAGAGACAAGAGTGGGTAATACCTATTATTGGACCAACTTCTGTTGATGAACAAGTCTCAGAGGAGTAGCATGTTAGTCTGTGAACAAACTCACCTGAAGAAAGCTCCTGATAGGACATACCTATTTTTGTTAGTCTGTTAGTGCCACCAGACTACCCCTTGTTTGTTTTTGTTTTTTTATTTTTCTGCTGGTGAGACAGACAAGCTTTGGCCCTTATCCAGAGCTCCTAACGCTGTGCTGATCTACAAAATTGGCTTTGATCCCTTTAGTGATAGACATGTAGCCCTGTTAGTCTGGTGTAGCTGAAACAAAAAACAGGACTATATAGCACTTTAAAGACTAACAAGATGGTTTATTAGGTGATGAGCTTTCGTGGGCCAGACCCACTTCCTCAGATCAAATAGTGGAAGAAAATAGTCACAACCATATAGACCAAAGGATACAATTAAAAAAAATGTGTTCATTTTTTATACCCGCCCTCCCAGGAAAAGAACCAAACATCCAGGCACTGCCCCTTTAAGAGCAGCCACCCGCTGTCCTGCAAGGCGGCACTAGGAAGTTTATTCATGACTTATGCCATCAGCTACATTTTTCGGCCTGGGTGGTTTTGTTTCCCCCTCTGCCTCCCCAGGCATGCTCCGGCGGGCGGCGCGGGACTGCAGTTAGCAGGAAGAGAGCTGCTCGGAGCCAGCCCTGCTGCTGGCGGCAGGAGTTAGTTGTACAGGGAAGGGGGAACTTTGGGGATGGCCATGGCGCGGGTAGCCGGCCCCAGTTTGCCAAGCGGGGAGGGGGCGTGAAGGGCGAGGGAGGACTTTGTAGGACTTTGCAGGCGGCACGGCAGCTCCCCCCCCCAGGCACAACCCTGCTGCCGCCCTCCCCGCTCCTTTTTTGGGAAGGAAAAACAAACCGCGCGGCTGCCGCCCCCGGCAGCTCCCCCCCCCAGGCACACCCCTGCTGCCGCCCTCCCCGCTCCTTTTTTGGGAAGGAAAAACAAACCGCGCGGCTGCCGCTTTGTTTGTTCGGGAGAAACTCGCCCCCCCCGTCCCTGCTCCTTCCTGGGGCTTCTGCCCGCACGCCTGGCGGCGTGAATGTCCCATTGTGCCGGGATCTTCGCCCCCCCTCCGCCCTCGCCCGGGTGCTGCTGGAAAACCCTCGCCCTTTGCTCCGTCGACGGCCAGGAGCGGCGCGGGGGCTTCCTGGAGGAAGAGGGAGCCGGAGCGCAGCGGCCCCCTTGCAACTTCTGCTCCTTTTGTTCCGCGGCGGCGGGAGGAAACTTTCAGCTTCCCCGCGTGGGGGCGGCGCAGGGAGCTGCCGGGGAAGAGGAGCCTCGGGAAAAG